GGGTGCCCAGAAGGCTGCGTCTCTGGAAGACGGGAGGTTGGCCACCCATCGCCCTCCGTCCACCCCGGGACCGCTAACCCTTGCCTCTTTCTGCCTCTTTCTGGATATCGCAGTGGCGTCTTCCTTACTTTGTCCGTGTCCCGGGCTCGCGATCTGCCTTCCGGAGCCATGTCCGAAGGAGTGGACCTGATTGACATCTACGCCGACGAGGAGTTCAATCAGGTGAGGGGTCGTGGGGAGCCTGGGTCGGCCGGGAACCACCTCCAGCCACTTGCAGTGGCTCCAAGTTATGCCGGTCCTTGGGGGTTTGCCGCCTGCACACGCCTGTGCCGGGTCCCCGTAGCACCGACCTTCCAGTCTTCCGACCGTCCGGTATGTTAGGTTCATCCTCAGGCTTAATTAGAAAGGCTTTGCTTTAAGAGCAAATAAAAATCAGGTTTAATGGAGTGGTGTGTGCATCAACCTGTGGAATGTGCTGCCCCAGGAGCCAGTTGGGTGTCTGTTGTCTCAAAGCCGAACCACACTTGAAACCAGCATCGCGCTCTCAGCGCGTTCGCAGGACAGTGCTGCTGTCTGTTCCTTTGTGATGGTCTCAGGCTGCAGCAGGGAAATAGTGGTTCGTGCCCCCTCTCTCCCATAAGGCAGCGCAAAGGCACGGCATAGAGATACTCTAACATTTCATTTCCGCTCCATTCAGATTGTTTTAGTCTGTAACTAGCTTGACTCCAGTCTTAGGGAGGCGTTTTGGTGTAGTACGTTTTATTGCTGAATGGAATTGTTTGGGAGCTTAGGGGAGAGGCAAAGGTTTGGGACCAACAGTTAAAAAGCTAGTGTAGACCCACCTGCATACCTGAGTTGGATTTATTGGTGCTTTTATGTTACCTCAAGGAACATTATACAATGACTTTCCTTGAAACGATAATCTCATATTTATAATTGGATTCTGAGCTCTTGAGGTCACATCCCAAGAATGTTGCAAAGTCTCTGTTTAAAACTTCGTGTCTTGCCTGGATTGTTTCAGCACCATTCTACTTGAGTAAGCTGGTCCTTCCCATTGGCATGGTTTTACGGGTGCACATTAGGGCTTGGAGAAAGGGTAAAAACCAGCTAGAGAAGGAAAGTGTGCTGCTTGGACTCTGGCTTGGATATGAGGCAACCGAAGAGGTTGAAATACATGCTGGGGTTTTTTCCACTTGGCATAAATTTACATTTAAAAACCTTTTTAAAGTATTACGCCTTTTTAACATAGAGATTTTAAAACACAAAGTAAGAATGTAATGACCTTGTACCCATTGTACAGGTTCACCAGTTATACCTTTTTTAAAACATGTTTTTTTATTGATTTTAGGGAGAAAGGAAGGGAGAGGGGAGAGAGAGAAACATCGATCAGCTGCCTCCTGCAAACACACACACACACACACGTACACGTGTGCAATTGAGCCCGCAACCGGATGTGCCCTCACCAGGAATTGAACCACTGACCTCCTGGTACATGGGATGATGCTCAACCAACTGAGCCACACAAGCCAGGCACCAGTTATACTTTTCTTTTTTTAATATAATTTTATTGATTTCAGAGAGGGGGAGAGAGAGAAACATCAATGAAGAGAGAGAATCAATGATTGGCTGCCTCCTGCACACCCCCCATTGGAGGTCAAGCCTGCAACCTGGGGATTGTGCCACGACTGGGCATCAAACCATGACTTCCTGGTTCATAGGTCGAGGCTCAACCACTGAGCCACGCCAGCCAGGCACTAGTTATACTTTTTTAATAGTCGTTTTCTGGTGTCTCCTCAGGTAAACTGGATGCGTCTACATGTGGCTGTTGATTGACTTAAGTACATGAAAAAAATGTTAATTTCAAACAAGTCCAATACTATGGATAAAAAGAAAGGTTTAGTATAATAAGTAGGTTACAAACCACTGCTTTCCTGAGTTTTCCATGCTACTTTGAGTCAGACTTTTACTACCTTTTAACAAGTTATGGTTTGTTTTTTAAATACTTGATAGAAAGAAAAGAAGACTCCCTGGGTGGAGTTGGCTCCCTTCTGAGGGTGGGTAACAGCGCTGCTTTGGGAAAGGGGCAGGAGGGGGTCCTTGACCATAGGTCTAGCCACCGTTGGCCTAAGAAAGCGAAATTTCAGATTTCCTAAACAGTGTAAGTTGTAGGTCAGAGACAAGACACAGGCCTTGTCCAGAGGTCACTGCTTTGTCAGAGTAGAAGTCCTTGGCCTCAACAATCTGTGTCCTCCGACCTCTTACTAAAAGGAGTTTTTTATGAGTCTGATAAGCCAAAGATGGTGTGTGGGATCTAGTAGACATTTATACCAAACAGACAATATTTGATGCGCAGCAAGTTGAAGAAAGTGTAGATTTTTAATGTCTTGGGAGGAGTGCTTTTTACCCCCATCAGTGAGTTAATTTTTGGCAAAAATGGTTTTAGTGTTATTTGGAGGCTGCTAAAGAGGAAAAGCTCTGTCTGGCTGGATTGTTAGAAGCAGGCTTAGACTGAAGGCCTTTAGTGCAGATAGTGCTTTAGAGTGTTTTAAGAATGTTCTTGATTCACCCCAAACTGACCCATGCGCAAAAATTCCATCACGTGTACTTGGTTTCCCAGGGAAAATGCATTTCCTAGATGGGACCCTACGGTGTTGACCCTGATCTCTTACATGTGCTGCAAAAAGCCTCTTACAGCGGCTTTCCTCCTGCTTCATAGGGAGTCTTGAGACCCACAGTTCCTCTCTGGGCAGGGGGAGGAGCTCCGGACAGCAGCTAGAGCTGCCTCTCTGCTGTGTGTCTTGTCTCCGTTCCTTGTGCAGGACAGGCAGGCGCCTTGCACAGTCTGCCCAGTTCTCTTCTGAACTCCCATCAGCAAGTGTGTGTTGAGCTGCTTCTATTCGCGAGGCCCTGTGCTGGGACGAGTGAGGTCACAGGGAAGCAGCATCCATGTGCTCAGAAGGTGTTTGTGGTGGTTGAGGGGAACGGAGAGTGATGGGAAGGAGGCTGTGAGGTGAGAGCTGTGGAGATGGTCATTATAAAACCTGAATTTGTAGCTTTGGTTACAATGAAAAGAAGCAATGCTATCAAGTAGGTCACTTTGAGAAAAATAAATCCTGGGCTTATTACTTCCCTTCCCTCAGATATCAAGGAAAGGGGCTGGAGGTGAGCATGCAGTTGCGGAATTATTATTTAAATTTAAAATTCTGCTAGTTCTCTTGTTAACCAAGAAGCTTTATGAGACAATCACAGTTCTGTGAGATAGTCATTCAGTATTAAATACTGCCTTTTTAAGTAAAAAAAAAATTTTTTTTTTTAAATATATTTTAGTTGATTTCATAGAAGAAGGGAGAGGGAGAGAGAGATAGAAACATCAATGGTGAGAATCATTGATCGGCTGCCTCCTGCATGCCCCACACTGGGGATCGAGCCCACAACCTGGGCTTGGGCCCTGACCGGGAATCGAACTATAACCTTCTGATTCATAGCTCAACCACGGAGCCACACTGGCCAGGCTTGTTTATCTTTTTTTTTTTTTTAAGTAAAAATTTTATTGTTAATTTGTAGAATTAGGTTTTGCCTTAACCTAATGCATCACTGCATAAATCATCCACTTATTTGGTAACCAGAAAAACTTCAGGTCATTATCTGTTTTTTGTTTTACCAACCGAAGAAGTAGAATGAATTGATGTCACTAACAGATTTAAATCCAAATACAAATTGATACCTTGTTTCTTCAGTAAAACTACTTCAACACAATCCTCAATAGGCCTTCCTTGTGCATGGGAACAGTTCCCATCACCCTCTTTGAACCGAAGCTCTGTGGCCCAGAGAAACCATGTCAATCTTGTGACAACTTTGACTTGTTGCAGCCTTTTGTGTTTGGTGCGGTGGTGAGGGGGCCCGTGCAGCAGGGCCTGCCGGGACTGGTTTGCCGAGGCTTACAGCATGGCAACATCCTGGCCACGCGTGTGCCCCTGAGCTACCCAAGTCTGCATGTTAGTTTGCCATCCAGTTATCAGTGGTAATTTTTGTATTACAGCTTTTAGACACACATCTCAATCACGAGTACTACATGGGAGGAATTCCAACTGGATTCCACTGACTATCCAAGATGGTGTGTTTTAAGCTGCATTTCAAAATCCTTGATTTAAAAAAAAGCAGCCTAGTATGAGGTTGTGCTCTCCAAGGATAAGATCATGGGAGAGGATCGAGTGCTTTCTCTACCTGTAACCACAAGGGTAAATCACCGTAGCTGGTACATGAACAAATAAGTGACTTATTTAGAGTTGGGATAGTTCGAAACATAAGGTCTATGAAATATTTACACAAAATACTTGTCAGCTTAGCCCCAGCTTTGTCTGCTTTATTCGGTCTATTACCCACCTGCACTCGGCAGTGTTAGCTTCTCTGTTTTCCACGCACACCATTTCTATGCAAGATCCTTATTTACTGGTTTGCCTAGAACAGTCTTCCAGTGCTTGTCTGACTGAGTCCTTCTCTTGCCTTTAAGCTGCCCCTAAAAAGTTTCTCTTGCCATTCTCTTTCTGACATTTTTACAAGGTTTAAACTCCTCCCCTGTGGGGTTTCTTAGGGCAGCGGTCGCCAACCGGTGGTCGGTGAGGTCCGAAAGGTTGGCGACCGCTGCCTTAAAGTATTTGTGATCTTCGAAATCATTGACATGCCTCCGGAAGTAGGAGCCTTTCCCCTTTGCTAGCAAAGCACTATTATCTCGGTGTGCATGTTTCCATTGCACTTCAGATGAGCTGAGAAAATCAAAGATTGTTTCCAAAAGTGTGATGGTATGTAGGCCTGAGTGAATTCTGTGCACGGCCAGTGTGGCTCAGGTTGAGTGTCAAGAGGTCACCGGTTGGATTCCTGGTCAGTGCCTGGGTTGTGGGCTCGATCCCTACTGGGGAGCATGCAGGAGGCAGCCAGTCAATGATTTTTCATTGATGTTTCTTTCTGTCTTTACCTCTCCCTTCCTCTCAATCTAAAGCAATAAAAACATATTTTTTTAAAAATATATTTTATTGATTTTTCACAGAGAGGAAGGGAGAGAGATAGAGAGTTAGAAACATCGATGAGAGAGAAACATCGATAAGCCGCCTCCTGCACACCTCCTACTGGGGATGTGCCCGCAACCCAGGTACATGCCCTTGACCGGAATCGAACCTGGGACCTTTCAGTCCGAAGGCCGACGCTCTATCCACTGAGCCAAACCGGTTTCGGCAAAACATATTTTTAAAAAATGATTTTTGTAGTGAGTCTCACCTCTCTAGTCTCACTTCAGAATCAGCAGTTCTTGTGTTGATATTGAAGAGAGACAGTCATTGGAGCGTCCTGTCCCGAGTTCTTTAGACAGGAAATGACTCTTCAGGGAACTAGACAAGTTACCTAATGTAGGTTTTTCCTTTATTCCCTTTTTTAAAAGGCAGCAATGGCATGAATGAGCTGTGGCTTCCGTAAAACACTTCGAACTCTTGTCTCTGTCATTTTGGCAGCTTAATCTTCAGCACTGTTTGAATGTTAGAGTGTTCGCTGGAAAAGTACTTCTCTGATCCTTTAAAAAAGATCTGAGTTAATGACATTGCAAAATCTGGAACATTAAGATCCCTTGATAGTTCTTGTGGTTTTAGGGTTTGGGGTGTATAGTGTTAGTCAGCTTGGACTTCCATAACAAAATAATAAAACAGGGTGCTGTGAACAACAGAGATTTATTTCTCACTGCTCTGGAGGCCAGAAGGCCAAAGGCAGGTGCGGGTTCTGGTGGGCCCGCTTCTGGGTTGTAGACGGCGGTCTCTGAATTCTCACAGTACGAAGAGCAGAGTGAACAGTCTCTCACTGACTCTTACGGCCCTAACCTCATCCATGAAGGCTTCGCCCTCAAGACCTCGTCTAACCCTAATTCCCCTCCCAGAGGCCCCCTCCTGATACCATCCCACTGCGGAGCAGGGTTTCAGCATCTGCACGGGGCGGGCACACAGACATTCGTCTAGACCAGTGGTCGGCAAACTTGGTATTTCAGAGCCAAATATCAACAGTACAACCATTGAAATTTCTTTTGAGAGCCAAATTTTTAAACTTAAACTATATAGGTAGGTACATTGTTATTAACTTAATTAGGGTGCTCCTAGGCTTAGGAAGAGCCACACTCAAGGGGCCAAAGAGCCGAATTTGGCTCACAAGCCGCAGTTTGCCGACTACAGGTCTATACCAGTGGTTCTCGACCTTGGCTGCACATTAGAATCACCTGGGAATCTTTTTAAAATCCTGATTTCTGGGCCTCATCCTCCGGGAATTCTGTTTCTTTGTTACTA